AGTTTTCTAAACTAGCAGCCATACATTTTTGAACCCCGAACTGCGCCTGCTGGTACTCCCTCTCGCTTGTAGGAGGCTTCTTGAATATTTTTTTGAAATTGATTTATTCGTCAACAGTTGTCTGCACTTGTGCATTAAATTTCTATGATTAATTTAAAGTTTTAAAGTTGTATGTAAAACATGTTAATACAGGTAGGTAAGAGGTAAAACAAACCCAAACAAACTAATTGTTCATATTTTATAATATCGTTGAATTCAGAATGAAAATGGATATTGGATTTAGATAATAAACAAGCACGAGCGTGTTTTAATAATGTTTTTTCAAGCTTTGGTGTTGATATAAAAAATGACGTTAAAATTGGAAACTTTTGTGTCTTCATCAGAAAATTTGTCACAAAGGTTTCAAAACGCCACTTTATTAGCTTTTCAACTGCTCAACTTTTTCGCCATTAGACCACCTTCGAATCATTTACGGTTCCGGTAGTCCCATACTTGCCCTTGCTATACTTATTAGCTCGCTCACCTCCCAACTAAATATTATTTACTTTTATTTAAATTAATTTTTTCTTCCACTTATTGTGAATAAATAAAACAAATGCGCACCCTTTTTTTCTCTCACAAGATGCAACTGATACCTAATCAATTCAATTGCGCTACTCAATACAATTGAGTATTCACATAAATAAACATTCTTGACTTTTAAATGCTTCAACGAACGTAGGTATATCGTGGACAGATTCCGTCATCGATGGAATCAATCAATGTCATTCGCGTCCCGCCGACAACCCAGATTCGGATCCAGGTGACTTGTAAAGCAAATTGAATAAGAGGAGCGATCACATTTGAATAAATTCAATTAAAAGGCCGTAACCTAATAAAGAATTTGTAGCATCACCACCCCGCCCCTGGGAAGTAACATTTCATCTTGCAAAGGGCAAAGTACCAGAGGCCGCACCCTGAAACATCGCAGTAATGTCACCGGGCGAAATAACATATATTTATGCTAATAAAGCTTACGGTTGATGGTCCGCCTCTCCATTGTATACGGCCTATTGATATTCACTATTGTTTAAATATCGCGCGCTTCGATCGTTTTTTCCCCTGTTTTGTTTTTCGTCGTTGTTTCGTCGATACTGCTGTGTATCATCGTAGGAGGCGACGCGAAATGTAATTACCCAGTGTATACAGGGTCGTTGCATAATGTTGACCTGGGACGCGTCTTGTGGGTGTGCCTGTTTGTACATGAAATTTTAATAATCGGGTCACAATTCGTGTTTTTTACTTTCACTATGTTGTCGCGAATTCCGGTTTTACATACACTCAATAACCAATCAGTAATGCACACAAATTACTCTTGTCTCAGACACCCTGTTTAAATCTTATTGTTAAGTGGGCAGAATCAATTGGAAGTAGCCATTCAAGGAACCAACAATGATAACAATTCGTTGTTTTTTATGCAATATCTTATAAACAAGTTCATTGTTTTTAAGCTAACATAACTACGGGAGATACGTATCTCATCTTAATATGATTATGTGAAGAACATCTCCCTTAAAATTGCTCCAAACACTTACTTTGTCAGATTCGAATAGAACTGCTTTAAACTATTCAAATTTCTTCCTCATTCTTCACCGAATCATATCAAATATACTAAGCTTCTTTTGTTATACCTAACTTACCTCACAATTAACATTCAATAAACAGTTAACCATTTTTGCAAATTTTACAACATAAGAAGTATTTTTAACTTCTAAATTGGCACAAACGGCAAGGAAAAACTGATTTGAATGATTTTAATATTAAAAACCGAGCTAAAGGCATTCATGCAGTGCTCAAAGAGATTGTTCAAGGAATTGAAGTCTCGCAAGTGTGAAAGCGCATCCATCCAAATAAATCTCACTCAAAAACATTTTTGTTGTATTTTTTATTTCATAAATGTGTCTTCTATACTGGAATTATGAATTAATGGGTAAATGTGAATGCTTATTAAAAAGAAAAGACAAACATTAACAACAAATAGAACTAAATGCAATTGAATAGTCATTATTGGCTAGTTAAAATGTAAATCATTACTTAAATAAAGGACGGACCTCAACTTGAACATAAAAGGAAAACATATTGCCAGTCTTCGAGTTGATTTAGAATTACTCGTCGTGTGTATCTTTTACAGTTAATGTTTCTTCAATGACCAATAACAAGCACCAACATATTTTAACATCCAGTTAACTCTTTATACCGTTGCACCTAGCAAAAAAATTATTATTAAAAATTATTTCGGTCAAGTTTTATTCGATAAACCAGTTATCTGCTTCGGACTGTAAATGTAACAGCTGCTGCAACATAATTTTTTATATTGACAGCAAAATTAAACATGTTCTTTGTGGAGCACTTCGCGTGTCCCAATTAATTTATTTCGAAAGTATTAACCCCAGAGCATTGAAGAGTGCAGATGTAATTTACCCTAAATATGAAACACATGTAAATTGTTCTAATTTGAAAATGAAATGCATTTCAACATGCAGAGTAAATATAAAGTGCTTAACAATTGGCTTGGGCCCCGAATTGATCAACTTTAATTTTTAAATCTCAACAATGGTAGCAAAATACTGTCTGTTCACCAACCCTCACAAGAAATTTACGAATCGAGAACGAGTATTAGTTGGTAAAGTCGTCAATAATGTTGCTTTTATAGTTCTAACGGTTTATGTACAAAATACATAGACATCAAGAGACGTTTGTAAGTAAAATATTTGATACAAAATCGCTGTCGAAATGTATAGCTTTTTCACAATCTGCCGTTTGCTTTTGAGGATTTTAGAGGAATTCGAGCAATAACTTATTTTATATGAAGCTCACTGTTTTATCCATTTTGAAATTTCGGAGATCTCGGCGATAACAAAATGCAATTTAGGAAATAAAAAAATGAAAAAGAAAACATACGTATTTCGCATTTATCGCAAGACGATATAATTACAACAAAGTTTAAAAGGTTTCACCCCGGATGGGGAGTTGGATCGCGATGTAAACAAATCAAGTAAACATGTTTGAAAAAATGATAGAGAAATATCGAGTTTCAAAATAATTTTTTAAAGCGTTTAGGTAATCAATAATATCAATAACAAATTTGCTACAAACTTAACACTCACCTTTAAGTAATTTCTCATTTAACCACATATCACTATAAATAAGTAAGTTCACTTAAACATAAGCAAACAATAGTAATTTTGTAAAATTGTAAAGAACTGAATGTTTTTCACGAAAAATAAGTTTCATTGTATGCCACCACAAGCTACCTGATTATTTTATACAGATAATTTCATAATGTACTCACACCTGAAGATAACAAATGCATTGACATTTAGGCGGTTGCACTTAATTAGATTCATTTATTACAGCAACCAGAAGTCATATGAATATGAAAAAGGTCAGAGGAACCGACGAAGAATTAACATTTGTTACAGAACCAGAAATGAATTACTATTTAAATGCATACACTTTGACGGTGATTAGTTTGGGTTTCCATCTAGATGCTAGTTGGGTAACAGTTGCAACATTGCTGTTATTGCAATGTAGGTGTGGGTGATTACTATTTTGTTTCCTATAATAGGATTTTATATTTTTAAAAGCCCACTATCCCACGTATTATACAGAGTGATTAAAAATTATGGGAACGATTTTATTGGTATTGTTTATGGCGGCAGTGGAAGTAATTTTAAGTCTGTTATGTGCAAAGACGCATTTAATTTTAATTTGTATACACTTGTTCAAACGTCGCATAAACTACATGCGGATTCGAGTGAAAACCGTGACAGTCGTTTTGGACGAGTTCAAATGCCACTGTAATTCTTGCCATCAAGTTTTGCTCTGTTAACACTTGCGTGTCGTAAACGCTATACTTTACGAGTCCCTTCAATAAATGCAGAAGCGAAATTTGCTATTGAACGCTTTTAAAAAGTTGTACCAGGAAAGTTGTATGTAATACCCGTAGATAAGCCCTGCTAGACGAGGCAAATTAGGCAGCAGGTATGAGCCAGCAAACTGGTCATTAAGAATACCAGCCTACACGTTAACAAACGTATATTGCTGTTGACTTCCAGCAAGTATTCTGCGTGGATGTTCTCTGGCCCAAACATGGTTATTCCTTCTGTTGAATATTCCATCTGATCTGAAACTGGATTCGTCCGTTTATAAAATAAATCGGGATCTTCACCAATCGGATGAATAAACCACTGACGTTCGCAGGAAATCACGGCAGGATAAAAAGTGCTTCAAGAGCCATGACTTGAACATAAACCTCAAGATCAATCATTGTTAAAATTCTATGTTTTTTCCGTACTGTGGTAGAGGGTGAATATTGGAACACTGACTTCTGCAATTGGAAAGACTCTGGAAGCCTCTAAAATTTGAGTATCTATATCAAAGGATGCTGAGAATGTCTTGGATGCAGAGGGTGATCAAAGAGGAAGTCTGCACCACATGGGGTCGACCCGCGAGATCTTTTAAACCGTAACCCATTTGGTGAAATGTTACTAATAAAGAATGTGGTGACCTTTTTTTGTTAGGTGTTAAAATTCCAGTCCTGGGCCTCGCAAAGCTTCAATCCGCCCCTAAAATTGTCCAAATTTCGAACACTCGAATCAACAAAACATCAGCGAAAAATGCTCTAAAAGTTCAGATATGTATGTTCAATAAAGAAGAGTGCGCCCTAATTGTCAACATTTCAAATTTCACTTATGGCTAAGATAATTTTTCGTAGTTGCGGGACACATTTTGCGTCGCGTTTGTCGATAATAAATTTCTGAGAAACGAAAAATTATCTACAAGTTTAGAGTTGTGCGTTCAGTAAAGAAAAGTGCGCTCTTAATGGCATCAACATTTCTTCAAACCTTCAAAAATTAATTCAAATCGCATTCAAACCTGAATTTTGCGCGCTTCTGAACTGTTGATTTGAAAATAAAAGCTTTTACTCAAGTATGGATTCTTCAATTAAAAATTCCAACTTATATATGTAAGTCCATTGTAATCCACCTAAATGTAACCCAACAAAAGATTTACATTATGTAGAAAACGTTTTTTTTAAGGAAATTTTGGCGTAAACTTGTACCTGAATGTTTGATATTCAATGTATTTGTTTCGGTTTTCATTAAGGGTTCGTCCCTCTTTGGATAATTCCGATGTAACATAAATGTGGAAATTATCCCTTTTGTCAGTCGTAATTTCTATCTGGTGTTTATTCATCTTTTCATTTCTGTCCTCTATTTCTATCTTCAAATAGAAGACTGATTTCGTCTGCCTTACCAGAGTCTGATTCATTCAGTCAGCAAAACATGAAAAAAAAAACATGAAAAACTATGATAATCATTTCTCAAAAATTTTGGCATGTATATTTTCCTTATCTAACTGCCTGTCACAGGATCGTTTTAAAAATTTGTTTTTGCCAAACATGTTTTGGATATTTCGTATTTGGTCATCAAAACTGCTTTGAATTTACAAGATACTTATTGCCGAATATGTTCGGATAAAAATGCATTGATGCGTCCATCGATAAACATCAAAAATTTAAATATTTCTATGCATCGACCAACCATAACCAGAATACTAAGGCCCCGTTGTACAACGAACCTTAAGCTTGGGTTAAGTTCAACTCTCAGTTGCCGTTGAATTAGAGTTTGAAGGTAAATTTGGCTCGTACGTTCAATGTTGACGAATTTGCCTTTCTAGTTCAAGTTCAGATTGAGTCCATATGAACCAAGCCAAAACGTCCATTCGACAACCGGGCCCTAATTATTTTGCTTCACTAAATTGAATAATATTTATATGTTGCAGTTCATTTACGAATTAAACATTATCTGACTTTTGATGCAACTTTTAGTCATAATAATGTTCGAATCCTTCCAATATAAAACGTTATTCTTCAAGTTAGGGATGAGTTTAATGTTTTCGTTCCGTTAAAGTAACAGTTCCCTTTCCATAACAAAAACCCGTTCACCGCGAATATTGTTTGTTGTCGAACGCTATGCAATGATAATAAATAAATAAAATAAATCCCTTAAATTTAAATTGGCTTAGGAAAATTTCTTGATCATTGATGGTGAACTTACTGATAGTTGGTGACGTACAAAGCTCTTGAAAACAACAAAAAAGACCTCATATGCCGTCAATTGTACAACAATGGTCGACGTTCCAGCATCAGATACAACACCAAAAATTCCTGGTCGAATGAAATATCGAAAAAGCAGCACAATAAAAACCATGTTCGAATAATGCCAGTGCCGTCAAAAATGACAACAATTATTACATTATGCTAATAGAACGATGACTTGCGAATCACCAATCACTCCATCTCACTCAGCCAGTCAATTTATCGTGTTTTCAACAAGGATAAAAGAGGTATTGAAATCTTGAACCGATCCTAATCTGATCATATAGGAAAGTCCGATTCTCACCTTCTTCAACAAACGGACTTAGACAGGGACAAAACCCCATCTAGATCTAGATAGATTGAACGCGAAAGAATCGAATGGGTGTTGACTAGCGAGGCAGTTGATAAAATTATGATAAATTGTGGGCTTTAGCAAAGAGAGGTTCAAAGAGGTCCCACTATTGTCTATGGAATTCTCCTACTGGGAAAGATGCCATTGGCACCCATGGGGATCGTTAATGGCCTAACAATTCTCAGCTGACTAATGATTTATCTATCTGCATGAAAACTGTATAAATAGAATTAATATGAACATTATGCAAATGACAAATACAATGCTAATGCCTAGATACCACTGAAATTACTCAACCTCTTTGTTCGCTTCATCACTTTCATCAAGTTGCGCTATTTTCAGTTTCAATAGCGCATTTTTAAACATTTATCAGTGCATAGTAAAGGCACACCTATTATTGAAAACAAGAAGCTTTCATATTGGAAGACGCGCCTTCGTAATTGACCTTTACCTAGTAGGTATGCTTAGGTACAGGAAAAAGGATCGTTGATTACTTTTATTCCAGGTACATGCTTATCGCATCTTAAATATAGATATGCGATTGGAAAGAACCAAATTAACTAAATTAGTTATGGCTTACCTAGAACTATATCCAGTAGAAGCAGATTTTCTGAAATCATTTTTTTATATTCGCACAACGTCAGGATCCAAATGAATCTTTAAAACTTTTCATGTATTTGAGTTTGGTAATACTTTGCATTCATGTTAAACGTAAAGATTCATAAATAATCACATTGCTTTTGATTTTTGTTTAATTAGCGCATCAAATATAATAGAAAAAATACCACATTTATTATAGCTATTGTTATCAAAAGATTGCCAGGATAGATTATTATTTTATGCAAGTTAATTCATATTTATATGCAAAATCGATAAAACAAAACCAGTTCACAAATTAATATTATTGTTTAGGTATGAGCAATAAATGTTCTGGGTAATACCTCTAAATATCCTTAAATGAGCAAGTATTATACCAGATACAAGCAAAGATGAAGGACAAGGTTTCTTTGCTAAATAAAGCTGATTTACTCTTGGTGAAGAAAGTAAGGGTCTGAAGCGAAAAATATGTGTTAATCAACGCTAAAGGGCAGAAAGACCGATTGGGTCGATAGCCCTTTTCTATAGGAAATAAAGATTATTTATATATATCAAAGCTAAACGAGTCAGAATAAATGTGTCGTATCAATAATAATAATTTCAGAAATATGTACATCACAAATAATGAAATAATGTCAAAAAATTATGCTCAGTTGTATCAAGTATACCCACTCTTTCCTTAATTTTGCACAATTACTCTGCTGAATTGTACGGTTCGATTTTTACAAGTAATTTAGAAATACGCAGCTGTTTTTCATACATTTAAAATTGAATTTAAACATACCTACAGACATTTTGATAGAAAAAACTAGAACTGCAGACAAGTAGCATCAAGATGTCAATTGGTATATGAGAAAACATTTTCAGAAACAGTACTTTATTGGTAATCCATATACAAAATTCTGCAGAAAAGTCAAAGTAATACAATTTGTAATGCAAAATTATTATTAGACAGTTTTAGTTAAGGACCTTTTCCACTAGAAGATACCATTATCAAACTTTGGCCCCACATTTCTCTTCCTTCATTGATTCAAATGTGATTCTTTCGATGCATCTGCTCAACTGACGGTGGCCTATTGAAAATACATTTGAGCTCAGACTATTCAGATCAGTACGATCAACAATGAACCAAACAAGTACCTTAGTACCAAACCGTGTGGCTTCACTCCCAAACAAATGTACATCAATATGTAAAACGGTCTGTTTCGCGGGAGTAGGGAAATAATTCACCTTTTCACAATCTGCGATCAGTCAGTTCATATTTTAGCGCCACTTGTAAATAACTGCTTCCTCACTATAGCCTCATCTGTGAGTTAAGTGTTCTAATGTTAGAGAAGAACTCCTCCGAAGTTAAGACAGTGTCAAAGTTGAATTTCTGAATCAGTGAAAAGTCTTCAAATTGTATTGGAAAATTATGTTGGCGCAATTTTTGTTAAGTGTTGTCGAGTATAGCAAACGTGAGTATTTGCTTTTTTATAAAATCAACCACTCTTCTACTTCTTCTTCTAATTCTTTACGGGACAAATGCAAGGCATTTTTGAAATATGTTTCAAATCTATCGTCATATTTCCGGATATAATAATTATTGCTATAAACCCACTATCGGTAGTTCTCTGGAAAACACAAAAAACATATTTGAGAGTGATTACATATAGAGCTGATTCAATATGCATGTTCATATGGAAAATATGGTCAATTCAATATTTTCAAATTCATAATTTTTTTATCAATTATTTATTTTGCAATTGCTGCTGGGGATCATAAATATAAACACTAAATTATGTTTGTGTCTTTTGTGAACTTTCTATAAATTTGTATACATTTTCATCCTTTTTTCATTAAATTTTTCCCCAAATAATAATGTTCACTACCCGTAAAATGTCCGTTTGGTGACTTTGATGTTCACTTTTGGTGGCGTTGTGCACTTTTGCTGTAAACGTGCATTCAATTTCCATCTGCTATCTAAGAAAAAAATTCCGTGTACATACTAAGGACTGTCTCCTCATCTTCATTTTACTTCCAATCACAACTGTGTGTTTCACTTTTTTTCACGTCTTCATTTATTAATTCTCTTGTCTATACCAAGAGATTTCTTCTACCTTACGAATGTACTTACATATTTCTTAGTTGATTGCTCTATTTGTCTATCTTGCAAACTTGCATAATCATTGCCGTAAATAAAATTATTCATTCAATTCAAAGGCTCGATTTGAGGCTAGAAGAAAACATATTGATAAAAGCTATAAATCAATAGGAAATAAAAATATGAAGACGTATGATGCTTATTGATATACAAGGTAAAATGAATGGCAAATTCGTTCAGCTCGTCAGCATACTTGCAATCAATATTACCTTGTACGGTAACCATTAATTAAAGGTGGAACACGCTACTGTAAAAAGTTTTAAATTAGAATCGTGATCGGCATGGGCAGGATTAAAACAAGGATATAAACAATTAGAGAAACGAACGTTAATTATGTAAATTAGATAAATGGCCAATATTGTTCGGATTGCGCACAATAAAATTGCTGAATTATGAAAATTAATCCTAAGGTGTGTTTATGCACTGCGGGATCTTCAAGATCAGTTTTATAAATATATATTTTTTTATTTCAAAACCTTGAAAGTGATGAGTGATGCTTATCAAAGGCTCCCCTTACAGAGTCTCCTATAAAAATCAGTAGATAAAATAAAGCTGACTTTGCCCATCAGTTACATATGCAAACAATTACTTCGAGTATCCGGATTGGGAAACAATAAACAATGCTAGTTTTAAGAAGCAACTTTATGAGACATCAATTAAAACCATTCCAACCAAATTAATATTATTACTAAATCATCTATTAAAAACCTGCATTTGAAACATATTTTTCTACTATTTGTTAACACATGTTAAATAGTAGCATTGAAGAATTGAAACACTCTGTAAGGCAGATAGAATATTTAAATTTACATAATTGCGCCATTACGTTATAATTAAAAATAACTACTTACCATTTTCTACTTTCTAAGATCATCACGAGCCATGGGAACACAATGATAAAAACAATTGAAATCAATATTTAACTTCTGAACTAATAAGCTAGTCATCTATAATCTGAAAATCAATATTTCCAACGTCTAGTCATACCCACACATTCACTTATTAAACAATGGCTTTAAAGTACAAGCAAAAACAATAACTCACTGACAGGATGATAATAATAATAATAAATAAATGGGCTTTTCAATTTACTAGCGAATTTATCTGTTATTTCTTGTGCGTCATAAACGCCTGTATTTAGGTTTAGATCATCTATGATGTCAGAGAGTTTTCATTTCTTACGTACAGCATCCGGAAAAGAGCAGTATGGATAAAAAAGAATTTCCTTTTGATGATTAATCGAGAATTCCTAGTTGTCGGGAATAAAACTTTCAGTTTTTTTCAACGCGGATGGGTTTGTACGTTTTATTTGCCATTATTACAATGGTTTTTAGGAGTTTTATCTAATTTATAATTTAGCAAATGAGTACCATTCTTACAAAGGAACTCAAAGGGACATACATTTCTACAGTGAATAAAAATGTAAACCAAAATGAAAATCCAGACTTTTTCATCAAACTAAATCGAAAATCTAACAAATTATGATGGGTAGCGGTGCAAGAATCACAGTCATCTTATTTGATTGATCACTATTGATCATTGCCATTTAATATGGCCGAATTTCATGCTACTGTGTGGCCGTTAAGTTCACCGTATTCTCTCCTACTTATTCGGAGAACATAAAATATAAACCGCTTTTGAAATTTACTGGTTATGCTATTTAACCCATAAAGATGCAGAAAGGAAGCATTTTGTAAATTTTTTAAAATAATATATTTCCAGTCAAAATAGTACTTCAAACTGATTAAAAAGTCATTGCGTTTGAAAATTAAATATTGATCGAATTTTTTTTTTCAGTTCCACATTGAGATTGTCTGAAAAAACTGCGCTGACTCAACCCAAGAGACAACAAGATCAAATCACCGCATCGTAAATAGTAAAACATCTTGACAGGATCGTGGATTATTCACTCACATTCTCTTCAGTGAATCATTTGTGTCATTAGGCCAAATCTGAAATATTTCTGGCTTTCATCACAGTAGCACATTTCCGCACAAAAGACAACAAAGTGGTTTGGCCACTATCTAAAGCAGGATCTCTCCACACCAGGATCGCACACGAGACTTTGCCGGAAAATCCCGTGAATCCTTCCGTAACGGAGATAAAGATCAATTTTTACGCAAGTTCACCAAATAAAACCTGATCAAAATGTTTGCTATAATGCAAATAGATAACGACGTTTCTCGCGATCAGTTCAGGAGAAAAATGAGAGCCAAGTGTGAGTTTGTGTGCAAATATTGTCAGAGGAGGTTCACCAAGCCTTACAACCTCATGATCCATGAAAGAACCCACAAAAGCCCCGAACTGACCTTCAGCTGTGCGATCTGCGGTAAAAGCTTTAAAAGGCAGGACAATCTGAAGCAACATAGGTGAGTTATCTTGATCGATTTCAGTCTTTATTGTCGTGTTTTTGTGGCTGACATTATTTATTTATAAATATCTCAACTGAAGATCATCGGTTAACACAATTATTTCAACCACAACTTGAAATCTGAATCAGACGCTTTAATAAATTAGATTAATTGTATTGAATGTAAACGATCAGATAGGGAATGTCCAAGGAACTTTTGAAACACAGCAACTATTTAAATCATTTTTTTTTAAATCGGACCACAATAAAAATCAATGTGAAACCAGAAATTCTGTGATCACTCCTACAACTCTTTAACATTTTGGATTACGCACGTAATCTAATCTGTAAATCTGCTAGCTTTTAAAACATGCCAACGAATATCCAGCAATCATTTAAACAAATATTGTTTCAAACCTCCATAAAGTTCTTTTAATTCTGATTGGGGTGCAATAAAAGCGCAGAATCTGGCTTGAAAAAATGTGTGTCATTTTCACCTATAATAAAGAAATTTTACATGTTAAAATTTCTTTTTTTTTGTCTTTTTTGTAACATTATTACTCGCTTATTCTTATTGCGATATGAATATTTAAGCTTGATGATTAAATATATTCTTCTTACCTAAGCAAAAATATTTTCTTTTTGCGAGACGAGCTTAGTGAGTGAAATAATTACGCCATATTTCCAAAATACATTTTTTTTCAAATAAAGCTGTCAACACTACATATTAAATCTGTTGGGTATCTGCAAATTATTAATTTAAGCTCCTACTAAATGCCTGGCAATCTCATTAACTTTTTTTATTACTTTTAATTTTTCTATTATTTATAATATTTTGCACTTTTATACTTCTTAGTTGGATGGTTTTAGTCAATGTGTTCTAAAAGTCGTTTATTATTATTATTATTGTAATTATTATGATTATTGCTAATAATAATGGAGCAATTGATCAAATCAAACCGATATTTTGAAAGTAATTTTTGTCAAATTTTCTAATATTTTGTATTCGTCACGCAGAATGATGTATCTAAATAATGAACTCAAAACTAAAAGAGTGGAGAGAGTGAAAAACGGAGTAAGAATTATTTTTTTTTAACCTAAACATTTTTGTTAAAGAAAATCAGTTCTTTCTGCGATAAGACCATAATGTACTAATTTTAGATTAAAATAAAATCGTCACAATAAAATAATTTTAAATCGAGAGGAAACTCATGTGGACACTTTTCAAGTTCTCTGTTCTCTCTTATCTCTGTCGATGATGAAATAAACTGAAAAGAGAACGAATAAATTAAGAAAATTGAAAACCTGGTATTTTATCATCGACTTCAATATTTATTTGACTTCCATACCAAGTGTAAATTTTAGGGCAGTTTAGGGTCGTTTACAAATATTTTTTTCTTAATTTAAATGCACAATTCATGTGTACATGTTTTGTTGAATACTAAACTGTATGTTGGATTATTTAAAAATGAAAATTAATTTAAAATATTCTCTGATGAATGTGATCCTTGCACTCAATTACATCTATCTGTATGTTATACATATATACAAAACCAGTTTTTACAGAGAAAGACGCTTTGCATTTTAAAGCAATTAGGAGCGATGTTCGAAGCTCAAACCCAAAGTTGAAATCAACGAGTGATTAATTTTTGAGATCAGATTGGAATTTATTCAATTTTAAATGCAAAAATTAAAATATAATTATGTTAATATCCGGAATTTCAAATAGCAAGATTTGATCGAAATACACTTTCTAATCATCGCAGAACCAATAGCAAAACACTTTTGTTATAATTTATATACGTTTTATTATTCAAACGAATGCAATTTTACTAGATGCGTTGATATGATAAAAATTAATATTATTTAATAATCAATTTATAACAATTTAAATATGTTCGCTTACTTTCAAATATTTATATGCGTTATGTGCAGTTTAAGATGATATGTCTTATGTCCTCTACAAAAATATGATTAACAACAATATATTGAGATTATATTGAGATGATCTCATCTTGTAATGCCTTATTAGGCACATTACTGGGACGTATAAATGCCGGTCAAATAATTACAAACATTTATCAATAGAGCTGAATTTTCCTACAAATACCCTGGCTACAAATGGCCTAGTCAGAACGTTTTTGGATGAAATTGCGTTGCTTTAATGGGAATTGATATTAATTTACTGTTTCGCATGTCAAAAAAGATAATTTTTACATTCCAATAATTCGAATTCCAATAATTCGAGTAAAAAATCACTTCATTAGCATATGGTTGACTGTAACACTGGTAATCCATTGTGTTTCATTGGGTTTTAACGACTCTGCATTCAAATGGTCCAAAGCTCTCAAGAGACTACTTAAAAAATGTTACAGTTTTTAAAAGGCTGTTAAAAATGTGTTGAATAGAAACGGAGAAACATTCGTCACAGTATATCAAAACGGGCGTATGCATTTCATTGCCAAAAATATAATTTCGACTCTAACAATGCCGAATACATTAACTCATAGACCAGCAGTAAACCCTGACAAATTGGCTTTAATGCCTCTCAAAATATGGTCCTTCGAGGTTTAAAGATTTGAGTTGAAATGAAAACGGACCAAGAAAATCAGCTAATGCAATTTTCAATATGTTAGCCACAAAAACATTTGTGTTTAGAAACAGAAGACCCAAAATTTAATGGACTTGAATAAATTAAATAATGATACTATTCGGAATTTATTCTAAAATAAATTATAATATGCATGGCACGAACACTTTCCTCTTAACCACGATTATTAGATTTAAGCATTTTGTTCTTCCTTACTAAAAAATATCTTCAACTTATTAACTCTCTTGTTTGGTTTAGTGGTTCTGGAAAAATGAATGCTATGTTATATTGTAGATTTATTTGTTCTTTTACCTTTTATTTTTTTGGCAAACCTGAATTATTATTTTATCGACTATTACTGAACTTTTGCGTGCACTTTTAATCAATACCGTTTGATGTAAGATTTGATTAAAAATAAAAATTATTTTAATTATACCGATCGTGAAAATCAGTAGATACATATTTAAAATATTTGATGTTGTAAATATGTTTGTTTTCTAATTTTGGTATCCTATTTTAGATGTAATCAGTGTGTATGGCGATAAGGTGGTGAATACCTTCTATGGTGAAAAAGGGCTTAAAGGTGCTCTTTCTATTTACAATGTAAGATATCTTTTTAACACTTAACATAAATTAGCTACTAACATTCATATGCTTCAAATAGTAAAGATTTTATTGTTTTCAATGTCGATAATTACAGTTCAACAAAGTAGAAGTAGACATTTCTTTTAAATAATTACAATAATGTAACGTAGATTTTTGTAAATTTCAGGACAATTCATTACCCATGTTCCAGCCCAACTTTTACGCATTATAATAGATACTAGTTTTCACGTAACGTATTTAATGGTTAATCTGTGGTCTTAATTCCATGTAATTACATACTACAATTAATTAATTAATTCAGATCTAAACTAACATTAAACAGTATTTTGAAATATAGTGAGGTAAGTAAATTATTGGGAAACACTTGGGTAAGAACTAAAATAATAAAATTTATAATTTAAGTCAATGTTCCCACAGTGGCGAAATTGAATAGAAGTTTAGCAAAAACGTGTTGCCAATAATAATTATTCAGGCCTGATGCGGTGCCTTTTTTTAAATTACTTTAAATCAGTAGCGATTTTATACTGACGCTTAAAATGAAATTTAAAGTCCAAGTGTTTCTATAGTTTATAATATTTGTTATTTATTTTTTGTGTATATAAATTATTTCATACTTTTATATTATTTTGAGTCTTATTTGTGTAACTGTGACCTAACTGTATTGAACTAAAGGACTAATAGTGTCTAAGAAAACATCAAATACGTATGTTCTTCCAGTTTTCTTAGTAAGTTTTTTATTAAACTTTTGCTTCAAAGTTTACAAATATAGCTTGTCATGAAACTAAAAAATGACTAGTAGTGCCAGTTTACATTAACACATTTATATCTAATTTGTGATTTAAATGGTACATTGACGGTATGTTGTGCAATTATTTTGAACTTTGTTAATTCAGAGTTTCTGTTAGTACATTTATTGTCATCAGATTTTATGTTCCAATTCCTTTACACTAGTTTTATACAAATAAGTAAAACCACGTGAGATAATATGTGATGTGTGTGTGAAAGTGATTTCCAAAATTTTTAAGTTTTAATTGGAACTAGTTTAGATTGTTTGTCTTTAGATTTAGTTTTTCTTTTGGCTGAAACATTGATGATCACATTTTTAATAAATGTTGTAGTTCTATTAAATGAGTCTAGTGTTATATACAGGGTGGTTTTATACACCCGGTATAGTTCAAAATAACAGAAACAAATACTTTGGCAGCGACAACCACAACTTTTATATGAACTTTATTTTTCAGTCGCTATTACTGTACGATCTAAGAGGGGGTTTCGTTTCGCTGACTCACCCTGTATATAAGCAATACCATTTAGCATAAAATAAAGTAATTCCCACAATTTTCATGCTCCGTATAAACCTAGGTCCATTTTAATGATGTTTTTCAAGGTTCATTAAGTTTTGTTTCGGTTTATAATTTTATAAAATTAATGTAGCTTTATAAAAGTAAGCAAAACCATTTGGTATAAAATAAAGGAATCTACAAAAATTTCAAAGTCTAGCTAATCCTACTTCCATTTTATTGATGCTTTGCACCTTTTGCTTTAGTCTTTGAATTTGGAAATTGTATATTTTTTGCCAGAGGCAAAAACATATTTCAGTTAATATACGGGGTGGCGTAAATTTAATCTACCAAACTTTAAAGTGAAAGTGTACAATTGTACACTTTAGGTCGTCAACTTCGCTAGGCCACACTTTTGAACTATAGTGCATATGTTTTTCAGAAAAAGCATGAAATGTGCCGTTGAACTGTCTCAGATTAAATCATTGGACCACCCTGTACCCAACATGTGTAGTTGGATCCTTGCGCAACCGATGCGGTAAAGTGTTTTACAATGACGTGCAATAATGCTTATGTAAATCATTTTCGCAATTTATTAGCTCTTCCTTTATTATGTAATGTATTTTTGCGCGAGATTTATAACTAGTTTATTAATGCATAGGTAGGCTTAAGTTTCCGCAAAATAAAAATAATCAAAACTCAATTGTTGTTGTTTTTCTGAAAATCCCCGGTATTTTGGATTGTATTTTGAATTCCCCATTCTGCACTGACCAAAACGAATGCCAGCTAATAGAATCCTTATGGTGGAAGATCGACAGATGTCCGAATTTATGCACAGATTCTTGTAATTTTTCCTACTTTTTTGCAGAAACTCGTCAGTTTTCCGTCGACGTATTTCGACGTGCAATTGAATTTTTAGTTCGAGTTAGTTAAATTGGGTGGAAACTAATCAAATTTGTGAAATAAAACCTTCTTAATCAGCTAACTATCACAAAGCAATTGTTGAATATTTTATAAAGCATTGAACCAACCAACTGGTCTTATAAAACTGAGTTTTTTGGCTTCACTAAATGCGTTATAAACCGAAACAGGCAAAACTAATAAAACATAAGTCAAGTGGCTCGTAAAACTAAAAAAGCTATTTCTAAATACTCTTGTAAAGAAATTATAATAATTAATGAGCAATATAATGTTACGATCAAATAACTACATTAACGCAATAAGAATAATGGAATTGACAGTTGTTATTGTTTTATAATCTTTTAGTAAAAAAAAACAATGCCAATAACATTGAACACACTAACGTCCAAAGGGAGGTTTTAGTTAATACATTATCAAATGATTAATTAGGCTTTAAAAGGGTGTTTCTCCTGGAAGGTTTTTGTAGTAAATTTTCAGGGATTTTCTCTTGTAGTCATTGGTTGAACCAATATCAGTTAAAAGTGAGAATAAATCAAGTTCAGAAACCCTTTAAAACCGGAAATTGAGAAAGGTAAGGTTTTGAGGAAATTTTGAAGAATGAAAATCAGAAAAGCTATTTAATATTTGATACTAATTTCACGCGAAGTGCAATGTGCCGTGTTGAACAAATTTAAGCTTTATAAACACACGTAAGACCGTCCCGGATAAATTGACTATTTGACTTCATTCAAGATAATATACGCGACTTTCTGAAATGTACATATCTTTTGAAATAAGCAGCAGTAGAAGCTTGAAATTCTTGTTCTTAAATAGGAATGACTCTAATATGGATTCTCCAACTTGAATAATTGAAAATTTGCCTGAAAGTTGTTGAACGTCTATAAATGACGGTACTAGTAGGTTCGAAAACTATGAAAAATTAAGAATTAAGTTAAAATTTAAAAAAAACGTTAATTATTTGTTCGAAACTTGATTCACATATCCAGATAGGATTAACTAAATTATACATTTAAGATCCCAGTAGAAGGCTTTTATTTTGCAAGTCTACTCTTGCAGTAAAATGTCGTCATTCTTTTTTTCGAGAACTAACTAATTTTGTCATTTTATTCGATTTTGAAACGGAATGAGAACGGAATATAATACATTTTAGCTGTGTAGAAAGAGGACAAAAATGAAGCAAAACAGGAAAACATTTAAGTCAATATTTTCAATCAAATACAAACCTTACAACTGATTTTCTTAAGGGAGATATTTATTTAGTTATATTTACTTATTATCCTGCTTACTCAACTAAAACACGAAAGAACCTTTGGTTTTTAGAGTGCATTTAAGTATTTCGCCTATTATCAAAAATATATTAAAAAATCATTTTCAGTGTTCGTGACTCTTTTTGGTCGATTTTGACATTGTTCATTAATTAATTTACAAAACATTATTTTAATCAATTTAATCGTTTTGGTATTTTCCACCAAGATCAGTCAATCTATAAAATAAAAAGTTCCTGTTGTCTAACGGAATTCAAGATAATTATTTTAAATAAATTATGCTTCGGTCTTGAGATACACGATGACAAAGTTAACATTAAATTTTAATTAAAATTCTGCATTCTGGGATCAAGTATATGATCAATATATGGGGTATATGTTATTAACCCTTCATCATCGGGGCCATTGGAAAACACAAAAGGGTAACAGTTAGACTTACTACAGACTTACTCGTCAAGACATAAGCCTACATCCTCAAGAGTGCCGAATTAAAATCGCAACACAAAAGAACAAACTAACATTAAAACGGACCAACAAATAAAAATTAAAAACTAAAAACCATGGACTGGTCGAAATATACAGTCAAGCGACCAGTCCATATGTGAGGGAAAGTTCTAGGGAATGCAAAAAACAAGTCAAACTATCTCAGATGGAAGAAAAACGAAAGCAAAACTGCGGAAAATTTAATTAAACAGAAAGGTGGAAGAAAATTCTTAAACTGACCAAACAATAATTAACAATTAGCAGACCCATACCCAAAAATTAAATAAAGTTACGCAATGGCTAAAGGGATAATTACAGATTTGAAACCGTACAATTATTTTATGCCTTATATTAAATTCTTCCGTAACTAGTCTAGTTACATCTAGAGACGTTCAATAGGCAAATTGACAATTATTAGAAGCGATTTATTTGCTGTCATGGCTCTGGAATGAATTCAGATACAAAACTTTGTACTTTGCGTGACAAAATGTAAAAACTTGATTTTTTGACTTAAAACTATGAATTTTCAGGTAAAATAACATTCAGAACAACTTTTTTAGCAACTTATTCCGACATCGCTAACGCATCCCAAATATAGAAAATAGCCCCTACTCGCAAAGTCGTAATAGGCTGGGGTAGAAAGCTAGAAGTTATTAGCCCAAACAATTAAGCTCATGACGTTCTACCTCTCTACTTCTATACCGAAACTGGATGCTTATAAATAAAAAAAACAAGTCAATATAATGCAGGGCTGATTCCAGCTGAAGTGCGACGCACTGTATGTCTGGCTCCCTTCAAATGAATAAAGCTGCGACAATTAAAATTTGAAGAAATCAATTGAAGTCTTCAGATCTCACTTAGTCAACATTCCAAACGCGTCTCTTTATAGAGTATTGCGTAACAAATCCCAGCTGCCGGTTTCAAGCAATTTTCCACGATTTTATGACTTACTTTTTATTGATATTATATGAGTGAATTATAAAAGAATTCTGAAGATATTTATGATCCTAGTTGTTAAATAAGTCCTGATTCTAAAAGCTCTATCAAAATGTAACGGTAAAAAGATGATTTCCGCTTCTGAACGTGACGTCACGCTATTGGGTTTCAGTTGGTGGAGCCCCAGGTGTCCACGAGGCCACCGTTTGCTGTTTCCGCATTTGCCCTGGACCGGGGTTAAACTATGTAATCAGACACAGGCGTGATTGGGAATTTATCAGGCAATATGCGGTTCCCAAGGAAGCTCAATCATGGTTTTAAGATATTCTGCCATGTACAGCAAACCRCTTTTCCACTAAAAGCTACAACCGATGATTTGCTTCAAAAATACATATTCGCTTTTTACACATAAAATGATTTCACTGAAATATTATGTTCGTAACWAATAATATTTCTTCTAGTTGTAAAACTAGATRCTTGAAAATTGCTCCCAAAWTSCTCCMGATTTGAAACAGATCCACCTCCATCTCTGTAAGTCTACTTTGTTGAGAACTACAGCGGGTTTTATTCATGCAATTTTTAATTWAATCATATGAAAAACTACCATAAAATCAAAAATTYATCTATTTCATACATTTGCACCAGACACTAGGTGGTGAATTKAATTGGAAAGTCTTCTTTTTAAGTTCTACTGACGCGATWAGGTGCCAAARATGGTAATTTTTCTAATCAAATTATTTTGATTTTTGACATAGGAAAACAAAGATCATTGGCGCACTTGGCCTGCGTATCGGAAAATAGCTTAAGCCAATTGCTAAACTGTAATAAACGTTTAAAATTTCCATTACAGCAATTTTCGTATCAAACTGTCAATACACCTATCGTGTTATGCAGAACTGACCTGCATCAAAGAACGGGACCTCTGGTTAATAAGGTCTAAACATGAGAGACTACTGAAACGACTACCATGTTATGCATGCCTCACATTCGCAAACAACAAATTAATCGTTGGAAATTACCATTCTCGTTAATAACCAGTCATTTCTTTTAACCAAGGGCAGTACCGTGTGAGCCAAAAGACCTTGAGTACTTGGATGTAAATTATTGGTTCACTGATGAATTCAACTTTAAGCAACAATGGAAAGCCCTTTGTAGCGCAGTTTTCTTACCAAATTACTGTTGCAAATGTATTGATTGATATTTCAGTTGATTTGGCTGTTTGTTCCAAATTTGCGTCCCAAGCAGGCATTTGCATTTATTGTTTTTGTAGTAAACTATTTCGTACTTTCTTTTGTAATCTGTTTTATATGCAGCGTTTGTTAAGGAGATTCCCCTTCAATTGGAGCATTTCGATTTGTCCCCTTTTGTGCTCGATGATACTTTTTTTCCATCTTGCGGGTATTTTTTCTTCTTCTCGCCATAAAGTGTTACTAATTTGTGTATTGGGCGATTCAGCAATTCTGCGGGTATCATGTCCGAGACAAAATCTCTTGTGGTTCTAAAAAGTAAAAATTAAAATAGATTCTTCAATTAGCTCGTCATGATCATGTTTAAGTGTCTGGATGAACCTGAGCTTAAAACCGTATTTCTCCAAGATTTCTAGTGCGTCAAACGTTTTCCGTTCGTACTCTCTTTTTTTCGCTCTTATTAGTCTTCTTGTTTTCTTCCAACATTCCGCGTATTTACTTTTTCCTTCATGGTTCTGAAGTTGGATCATCCGCTTGCTTGTCGTTTGTCTTTCTGCCATCTGGTTTTGGCATTCCTTTCCTCCTCAAACCATGTTATTGCCCCTTTTCTATAAAATTAACTTAATAACTTAGCGTCAATGAAGAGAAGACGAAATACATGTGCATGAACAAAATGGGACGAAGAGACAGAAGAGGACAAAGCATCATAATTATCACCTTTAATTTTGAAAGAATGGAACACCTCAAGAATCTTGGAGCCACAGTAACCGCTTTCAATGATATAACCCAGAAGATCAAAGACATAATTCAATCTGAAAATCGTTGCCCATACGGACTTAATAACCTTATAAAGTTAAAAAGCTTAACGAAAACATTAAAAATAAAGACATGTAAAACATATTATACCATCA